TAGAAGTGAAACCTGAAATTTAGCCATATTGTTTTTGAGTTCTATCTATAGCGTCTTGATGGCTTACAACCTAGATTTCTTGTAATAATACGCTTCAATTCAAACTATTCCACTGCTGGTGTATACATTTGGTAGTGTCGTAAATAGTGTACAATCAGAGTCTCTGAATGTTAAGCCAAAAAAATTAATTTAGCAACACAATCAACAATATCAGAGCTAATCATTGTACTCTCACTATAGAGTACAATGGTTTGGAGAACAAGACTGATCATTCATTAACACTCCTTCTCACATCACAAATTTCTAAATAAAACTACTCACAATTCATAATTGACTGAACAATGGAATTGAGAAAATTAGAATTACTTGTGATTTAATGAGAGAAAGTAATTAGAAATAAACCTAAGGATTCAGTTGTTCTCGAGCTAAAACAATGAAGATCTCATTCCACACTTGATTCTAAACTTCTTCACTTTAAAATTGGGGGTCCAAGCCCTATTTAAATAGGAAGATATCCGATTTGGGACGATATAGGTCGCACACACCTCGCGCTCATGGCATGCATGATCCGTTTGTGACTTACAAATTTCTTATGCATTCCTACTCAAGGCTTGCACACCCTGTTGTACAGACCCTTCTGAAAGTTCTAACATTCCCCTTCATGTGCGCATGATGTGGGCGAGTTGTGCATGCCTCAGGTGCACCATCCAGAAAGTTTCAGTAAAATGTTTGCTGAAATACGGACTTATCAAGCAGCATCAAGGAAGTTATCTTTCAATCCTATTTTAGTTATAAATTCGCCTACTTCCTCTACTTCTGCAGCAGCATTACCAAATTTAGTTTCTAAGCCTACTTCTACTTTCTTTACTCATGTGGTAACTTCTATTCTTCTTATCCCCCATTAGTGTCCTATTTCATCGATGTATAAAGGGATTGTGATTTTAGTTACTCAATCCCCTTACCTGATCATTTGTGCAATATTATTGCTTCACGAGAATATATGAGGCAAATGTGTGTTACTATTAGCGTTGTAGAAGAACATAGATACGTAAAGGAGATGATGAAGCAAGAAGAGAAGGTGAAAGGGGAAAGAATACTCTTCATTGAAGCTAAAGATGAGACGGGAGCATAGAAATTTAGAATATTAATTGTTTTTGCTAATCACTTATGACTTTTGTCATAATATTACATGTCAACCATTCATTACAGGTCAAATTGAAAATAGTAGAAGATTAAATCTATTCGACCTTTTTCACTTTTCTTATCATCGCATAGTCATTTTTCATGGGGACTCACACCATGGTTATGGATTCAGTTGACTCTGATATCATATTAATCTAAGGTCAATCTTAGGAGTAGTCTGGGATCTTAATATAACAATCTTTTGCTTTATATTTTAGTGGTGTGAGACTTTGACACCACTTCTTATGACTAGACCATTCATTTGTATCGTGTCACCATTCATTTTTTCACCGATTCATCATTGTCAGTTTTTTAAGCGTCCTGTAATTTTTCATTGGGACCTGAGTTTTCATCCTAAAAGGGCAACCTACTCGTCATTGTAATTTTTTATAATCGCATCGTCATTTTCATAGCGGCCCACAACATGGTTATGGATCAATTTGTCTCGGATACCATGTTAAAACCTTGATTTTCATCCTAAAGGGCCGGGCTTAGTTCAACTATATAGGGTGTAATTCAAGATCTTAATATAACAATTTATTACTTCCTATTTTACCCGCGTGGACCCAATATATATATGATCAGATGATCGAGAATGTCAACAATAGAGACAACTGGAAGAAGAAAGAAGTATTTCCATGGGTTGGCTATTGCTTTGTTATTGGTGAAATATTGAGTATCAAACAGGTCAATCTTCATCAATGAGTATACTAAAATGGAGGAAAACCTTATTTCAACCAAGAAAGTGTGAACTCCCAGAACCACCAGCCAGAGCCTCAAACATGCTTTCTGATGCCCCTCTACAGCAAACAATGGAGAAGATCAAAACTGGGACCGCCCTAATCATGAGAAGGACCAAAAGACTCAGACCCGAGCAAAGAGAAGAGTTCTTAAGGGTTCATAAGAGAGGCCATCTCATCAAAAACCCTCTTAACCCTAATAACTTGGAATCGGACATAGAGGAAGCACAAAACTATCATCACCTACCTCATATTCATGAAGAAGCACTTCACTCCGAAACATGTGATAATGAAGAGGTAACAGAATAGCTCATTGCTAGTGATTAACAGCTAGCTGATGAAGATAACTAGCAGCCTGCTTATATAGAGCCACAACAGCCTGGCTATCCTAGAAGAGCATCATGGTGATGGATGAGCACTTTCATCAGCTATTCATCATCAGTAATATATCCAACCTGCTCTATCACACAATATAGCTACACCTGCCACTCCTCTACATTATAATGTTCCAAGTGAATCCCTCATGGATGATGAAAAGCAAGTACTTCTATGAATGGGGTCAACTAATCTAGCTGAATGTGTCTCTCTCAGAAATATCAACAAGGTCTACCAAGTTAAGAAACCCATGCTACTTGGTAAACAACCTATTCCAGAAGACTTATCAAGTTCTGAGCATGCAGCTGAGACTCAACCTTTAACCAAAAGGAGAATGGTGCTCTTGTCTAATGATGAAGAGGATGAACAACTTCAAAGAGCCATACAAATATCTCTGAGACCCACTCACAAAGGACTAGGTGAAACATCCATGGCCACTCTGGATGAGCAACCGGGTACTAAACCTTCTCCTGAACCAAACATTGATCTTATCTCCTCACTCACTGCCACATAAGATAGACTCACTACCAAGATCTAGTCACATCAAAAGACTATTTAGCTATAGGCTCAAACTCAAATGGAGATGGCCAGACAATTGACAGAAATAGACAAGCTCCTACACGAGTTCAAGAGTGTACCAGTCAAAGTCAAGAAGGCAGTCAAGAAGAAAATAGTAACATCCTCAAAGATCAACTTGGAACTACTACAACATGATCATCAACAGCCTGCTGTCGACCTTCAGCTCATGTTGCCTATAGTGGCACCCCTCCACAGTAGCCTGTTTCTAATTCCCAACAGCCTGCTACTGAACAAAAGCATGAAGATGACCAGCAACTCACTCTTATAGAGGAACGAGAGTGTGACTTGACAATTAAAGAGAAATATACTAATAAAGACACCATTGATACACAATGGAGTTTCAACTTATCACAACACATCATGTATCACACACCTTTTCTCCTTTTTTGTCAGTCTTGATGTTGAACAACTTATCAAAGATCACAAAGGAGATGGCGAGAAAGTCGCTGAAAAGTGCAAGTCTAACACTGAGAAGCTAGCAAAGACTCATTTTACACCGATGAAACAAATAGAAGCAAGGGAAGAGGCCAACAAGCATCGATGGGAAAACATTAACAAAGTTGTGGGCACGCTCTTTGGCATCTGCAAGGCCAAGTTTCCAGAACTCGAGGCCAAGGTCAACAAAGCAAATGGAACTAATGAGCAAACAGCTAAGAAGCGTGGAGCTTTAGAAGAAGATTTTGAAAGAAACATAGGTGAGATAGCATATATTCACATCAAACTCTCACTACCTGTTGATACCCTCCATGACGTGGCAACCAAGAATGATGTCAAAAAGGGGGAAAGAAGTAGTCAGAGAACAAGAACACACAAAGCTAGTCCCTCAGAAGCATTAGAAGGATCAAGGCTCAGAAAAGGACCGTGGAAAGCTCCATCAACATCAGGGCTGAATAGATGGCAAAAAGGAGCTCTAACAAGGAAGAAGAACAAAGAAATTCGAATGCGTGAAGAAAGAGCAACGATTAGAAGACAAGAAACCGATCTGCAGCCTCAACTAAAACAACAAGAACTAGGTTCACTTACTATTACAGACTTGATATTTGGGGAACTTGATGATATTTGGGGAGTGCGTAACCAATATGTGTATGTGGTATTCGGACGATGATATTTGTATTTTTACTATTTCTCGTTGTAGCCTTTGGAAGGCGAGGAATGAGAAAAACTGAAAGGATCTTGCAGTCAACTGGAGGGGGTTGTAGCTTGTGGGGAAGCAATGTTGACGAATTGGAAGGAAGGACAATGGTATGAGATTGGGGTACAAGAGAAATCTAGGATGGATGAGCATGGGAAGAGACCAGATTCGGGTTTGATTAAGATTAATTTGGATGGGGCGATCCAGAGCGATGGAGATGGAAGAAGTATGAGTTTAATTGCTCGAGACGATTTTCAGGGCTCTTTTGTGGTTGGTAGATGCGTGTGGAAGAGATTGTTTTTCACACTAGGTACTACACAAGCGATGGCGATATAAGAGGCAGTGAGGTGGGCGCTAATCCAGGTTGGCAAAGAGTGATTGTAGAGTTAGATGTTCAACAAGTTTTAAAAGGAATTGCACACAATGATAAGTTTTACTGATATTATTGACTAATTTGTCCACCGATCACCGAATCAGGTTGCTCATGCACTTGCAAGGAAATATGTTACTTTATGGAATTACGCGCAAAAGAATTAACATATGTTGAAGAAGAAGCAAAATTGTTATTCTATTTATCAATAAGGAGGAGTGCATCTACCTCTTATATAACCAACTATCCAATCAATTAGGATCGGTCGAGTATAAAAATTAAAGCTTCAAAAAGATTAACATCAATCAAATTAATGATAGAAATATTATATTTTGGTTTGGTTAATTAGTTTGGTGTAAGTTGATTTTGATTTGTTATTTTAAAAAAATAAGAAATTATTTCATTTTTAGATTAGTTTGGTTTTATGATTTCGGTTCAGTTTGGTTCGGTTTAATACGGATTGGGAGGAATACTACCAAACTCAAACCAAATTACAAATGGTTCGATTTCGATTCGATTTGATTTGGTTTGGTATGGTTTGGTTCGATCAAACCGAACCGTTATGCCCACCCCTAATCCAACTTGGTTAGGAGAGTCCGAAATGGAATTTTGCCATGGGCGTGTACTTGGAACTGGATTGAAACCAGCTCGGGATCACCCTGGTTAATCACTAGATTCTTTACGTGAACCCCGGTTCGGTTCAGATGGGTTATTCAAGTTGAACGTGGAACGCTCTGTTTGCTTTATGGACAGCTCGCTCGCTATCCTCGTCTAGTTCTTTCCAGTTTCCACAGTCGCCGAGTGAAGGCTGCTCGATACGTATCTCCTAAACCATGCGAATAAACTGAGATGCAAACTTTGTTCTTCCCTCAATCGTTTCTGTCTGAAATCTAAGTATCGTATCCTTTTCTTTCTTTCTACATAGCAGAAAGCTTTTCCTTGTCATTTATTTTGCTTTCCCCAATTTCATGACTTTCTGCCTATCAATGGATGTTACGTAATCCACAGCTGTTCGGTTTTCTACTCCGCTAGCCGAAGGTCGCCGATGTCTTCATCGTCAGGCAGCCCTTCTTCTGCTATTGAGACATCCGAAAGAGAAGTAGACGTCGAAGCCGTCCGTCGAGATAGAATCCTCTCGAGCAAGCTCTATTTCGACGTGCCTCGGTCTAAGGTAACACTTCCCTCTTGCTTGAATTCGTAGTAACAAATATGTATGTATAAATGACCAGTGCTTTTAAATATCCGTATCTGTAAAATGTTGTATCAGGCTCCAATTATCTACTCGTCCTCATACGACATTGCCTTTCTTGGCATAGAAAAGCTGTAAGGACTCTATTTTACCCCCCTCCCCCCACACACACACCTATAATTTGTATCACCGCAAGCCCCTATTTTATTTCCCCAACTTTCCTTATTGGATCATTTCTAAAAGGTATGCCATTTTCTGAAAATGCTTTTCTTCTGTTAACAGTTTAACACAAATTTCAACCTCACCATTTGCATTTCTTACATCTCATGTAAGTGAAATTGAAGAAAAAGGGACAAGAGGAAGTATTCCTTAACAGTCTCAATAGAATTACTTGTCAATATGAAGTATTCCTATATACTGTGTAACCTGTGTTTATGGTAAATATTGTTTGTTTGTTTTTTAATTTTGTATCCTTCGATTGTGACTGTTGAGTGATCCATGTGTACCTATGTAGTTAATTTTCTTTTTGTTTGTCAGGCACCCATTTGATTCTTCTAAATGGGGTCGCATATGCCAGTTTCTCACTGAAGATAAAGTCCTGGAGAAGAAGCAAATAGTTGAACCTCTGGAAGCCACCAAAGATGATCTCCTAGTGGTAGTTGCTACTTTTATTGCATTGCTGCTTGTTCATTCTTGAAAACATAATGTTGAGAATTTGAACTTTTAGGGTCATTCTAGCTTTTTATGTATCTGATTCTCCTCCTTTCTATTGGTTTGCCCATTTTTTCTTATACTATCATGAGCCCATCAAAAAATTTAATGCAGATTTATTCCTGAACTTTATACGCATAGTTTGATCTATAGTGTAGGGCAGAGGAGGGGATATGAGATCCTGGAAACACAGATCTGCAGACCTAATAGTTGTTTGGTAGGAACACTATTCATAAAGGATCACAAATACTGGATTCAATAGTTTCATTGTAGGTTCTGACTGCTGAGGGAGGATATATAAATTCATAGGCTCACAGCCGATGTGATCATATAGGCTTTATGATCAGCTGGATCTTGGTCAATTTACTCAATTAGTCCAATTGCCCGAAACTCCAAATTTCAATCCTATTAGACCAGGGTCCTCTGTGACTGTTACCCTCTTTTATTACAAAAGGTGGTATTATTCTTCGTAGTAGGTGAGTCTAGTTCGATTTTGAGCTGACCTAATGATGAAACTAGGTAAACATTGTTCATTTGTCTCTTATGTGAACATGACCGGGGTGTATTTATTTATTTCCTTGGTGTGAACCATGCTTGCATGCGATGCATCATTCATGTGCTAAAAATTCTACTTGTATGTCAAAGAAACTGTGGTTTTGGTGGCAGGTACATTCGGAGTCATACTTGGCTAGTTTAAAAAGCAGCTTAAATGTCTCTATGATTGTTGAGGTGAGTTTTTGAAAGAACCTGATACGTTTCTTGTGTAAAATTTCCATGGACTAAATCTGGAACCAAAAGAAGCTCAGTAAAGCAATAAACTTTTAAATCATGGTACAACTTTTGAACTTTATAGGTTCCACCGGTTGCACTTCTACCTAATTGCCTCGTGCAGAAGAAAGTCCTTCAGCCTTTCCGCAATCAGGTGAAATAAAGTGTGGTAGTCCTTCCATTTTTTTACAAACTATGTCTCAAATCACTAGCTAAGCAGTTTTGAATAGGTAGGAGGAACTGTTTTGTCTGCTAAGCTTGCAAAAGAACGTGGATGGGCAATCAATGTGGGTGGTGGGTTTCATCATTGCTCTGCACAGAAGGGGGGTGGTTTTTGTGCTTATGCAGACATCACTATTTGCATTCAGTTTGCCTTTGTCTCTTTAAATATATCAAGGTATTGATGACAAAAATGTCCCATATAAACTTTTCAGCTATATCTTGATTTTGCATTAGGATTCATCAGTTCTTTTATTCTACTTCTTAAGAGTGATCATTATTGATCTGGATGCTCATCAAGGAAATGGTCATGAAATTGATTTTGCAAATGACGGTATGATTCTTTCCCTTATTCTTAGAATCTTGGGCTTTGTGTGACTTTTTTCTTATTAATTGAACTTTGCCTTAATACTGGCAGGAAGGGTCTATATTCTTGACATATATAACCCTGGAATTTATCCAATGGTGAGTTCTCTCCTCATACTTCCACTTAATATTTCCCCTGCTTTGGTGGTAGGGAATAAAATATAGAAGAAAATTGGATTTTTTTTTTGTTTTTTTTGGGGGGGGGGGTCTTATATAAAGTTGCACTCAATAAATTTATTTTAGATATTCGTTAAAGATCATTTTATTTATTGATATCATTTTTTACGCAAATTTATTATATCATTTAAAGCTATGACATCTAAGTATTTGTTAAAGAGCATTATAAGTGGTCATATTTAATGATCATCCTCCAAGATAGAATCAAACATATAAAAATAGTACTAGTGTACTATGTATCCCTTAACATTCTATTTTCCTTTAATATTTTTTTGTTCCCTTTGAGTTTCTGAAATACAAACATACCCTTAATTTATTAGTAGTAAGAGATATCACAACATAGGAAACTCATAGGGTGCGCAGTAATGTGAAGTTGTGAACCTAAACATTGTCAGGCATGGAGCTTGCATCCCCATACCACCATTAAATCATTTCTCCTGCTTTACATCTCTTTTATCTTGTCACCCTCAATCGCCCTCAATATTTTATTAGTGCCTCAAGTACCACATTCATCTTTATGATTTGTGACATGTTCTTTAAGGATTTCGGAGCCAGGAGATACATTGATCAGAAGGTTGAAGTTCAGGTTAGAGTTAATATCCCATCATTGAAGATGAAGTGATGACTGCGTTTTCTCTTTTATTTGGACTTTTAACTTTTCTCAAGTCAATTTTGACAGAGTGGGACTGAGACAGAAGCCTACTTGACTAAATTAGATGAAGCACTTAAGGTTTGTATTGCATTTGGTTCATTCAGTTTGAGAAAAATGAAAGGCTGGTGATATTTTTTTGTAACAAGGAGACTGACAGAAAATGGACATGGAGAAAATGTTGGTTATAGTTTATGACCATCATAATGAATCTGCAGATTGCTCAGCATAGATTTGACCCCGAGTTAATTGTGTACAATGCTGGTACTGATATATTGGAAGGCGATCCTCTTGGAAGATTGAAGGTAATCTTCTCAAAGACGGTGGTGTTCTCTTCACCGTATTTTGTTCGCTTATTAGTTGTTACTTTTCATATTTGCGGTGTTTCCATTAATCTGATTAAAATAAAACCCACGGGCATGAATATGATTATATGGCCCGCAAAAATATCAATATGGTCACTTGTAGTGAAGAGCTGAGCATCTATATAGTCATAGCCCTCACTACATGTTAAAAGTCATATATTTGTCCATTAATTTTAGTGTAGGCCTTATTTTAATAAGATCAGACCACATATGATGGGGCCAGCCAGCCAGGCTAGAGAGTGGTAGCCATCAGACATGTGGGTTTTCATATGCTAAATTTATTAGTAAGAAACAATTTAGCCATGTTCATTTTCAACGCAGATTAGTCCCGAAGGAATAGCTGCGAGGGATGAAAGAGTGTTCAGATTTGCTCGAGGGAGAAATATCCCTCTTTTGATGCTGACATCAGGTTTATGATTATGTTCCGTAGTTATCTCTTGTTTCTTTTAGATTTTCCCTGTCCTTTGGTTATCTTTCACATGTTATCTATATGAACTTGACCAATATTTTTCGTTTTGATATGTTCAGGCGGTTATATGAAGTCCACTGCTAGAGTTATTGCCGATTCAATCATAAACCTGTCCAGGAAGTCCTTGATAGACATAGGGGCTTGTGTGTTATAGGAGAAGATAGACCCTTCGCGCCCACTTGTACGTCGTTGTGCATAGTTTCAGTGTCAAACTGTCAATAATACGAAGTACTAACCATGATGATGTATTGATGCCTAAACAAAGCAACCAAGTTAATAAGCATTTAGTTGTACGGTTATGTATATGGAGTGTTTGCGTTCTTGTAAGAGATTTTTTAAAAGTAGAAGATATAGATTTGGCAAAAAGGTATTTTAGGTGTACTAGTCGGGCAAAAGTTGATGATAAAGTGAATAACAGTTTTAAACCAAAGTTTTGTAAAGCAAATAGGGGAGAAGCTAGCTAGTAGTTACTAGTTAGTTTTTTGATCACTTACAATTTGTATCTTGTAAATTACAAATGTCAAGTGTGATAAGTATCAAGTGATAAACTAGTTTTGGATTTCAAAATGATGTAAAATGCAATGTGGCGTGTTAAGAGTAGTTTTAAATAAAATTTGGATTAACATAAATATATAGGGTTGAAAGTGGCACGTTTCATCTGGTTTCATTTCAAATGGGTCTTTTTACTCTGAAAGTTTCCTGCTTGGTTAATTTTACAAGTTGAAGTTCAGAATTCAGATGGTGAGAAGCTGAGAGCATTGAAGTACTAGTATTAATCAGGGATGGACTCGGGTCTGGGCCGGGTCCGGGTCGGGCCTAGGCCCGGGCGGGCCGGCGGTTCAGAAGTTGTGGACTAAGCTTGGACTCGGGTCGGGCCACCCGGCCCGTGGACCGGCCCGGCCCGTGGACCGGCCCGGCCCGCTACTGTGCGGGACCGGGACCGGCCCGGTTCTCGGGTCCGGGTCCGGGTCGGGCCTAGGCTCGGGGGTAGGGCGGGTCCGGGCTCGGGTCTCAATTTTGGTGAACCGGCCGGGTCGGGCTCGGGCCAAATTGAATTTTTTTTTATTTTTTTTCATTTTTGGGGTTCCACCCGGGTTGGGCTTGATGAATAGGATGGGTTTGGGGGTGTTTGGGAGGGTGGGGGTGAGGGGGGGGGTTAGGAAAGCAAAAAAAAAAAAATTCAAACCGGAGGCTCGGCCCCGGCCCGGACCCGGTGGGTACCCGGGCCGGTCCCGGGTCCACCATTCTTGAACCGCCGGCCCGCCCGGGCCTAGGCCCGACCCGGACCCGGCCCGGACCCGAGTCCAACCCTATTGTGGACCCGGGACCGGCCCGGGTAACCACCGGGTCCGGTCCGGGTCCGGGCCGGGTCGAGTCCATTATCAATTTTTTTTTCCTCTTCCTAATTAACCCCCCTCCCACCCCCAACCCCCCAAACCACCCAAAATACCCAGCCCAACCCGAAAATTTAAAAAAAAATGAAAAAAATATAGTTTTGGCCCGAACTGGGCCCGGCCGGGTCGGGCCTTGTTTTGGGTGACCCGAGCCCGGACCGGAAAACCCACGGGTCGGGCCTACCCGGACGGGTCACTGACCGGGTCACCAGGTCGAGCCCGGCCGGAACAGTGTCGGTCCCGGGCCGGTTCCGGGTCGGGCCACCCGGCCCGAGTCCATCCATACTATTAATTAGTATATGGCTATATGCTGTTGCATAAGCGTCTTTCTCATCTTTTATTGCAATTTTGTAGATGACACATGGATGTTCAGTAGCGGGAATTTGCAAAAACATGACTAACTACATAATTTAACTGTGATGCTGATTGTGTCGGATGTTAAAAACTCATGAAACACTTCAATTCAACAATCCTCCAAAAATTTCAGTTTGTTCAAATTAGAAATGAGTTTTAGAAATGATACACTTTCAATCTCACATTCTCACACTATCACTACTAGTTTAACACTTTCGAAAGTGGGTATCAAGTACGAAGTATCAACTATCAAAGGAGAATAGATAAGAATTATAAATATGACACCTTTTCAACCCATTTAATTATTATTAGTATCACCACTCTCAAATGTTTGTCTGAGTGGCGTATTGAATCATTAACTAAATATGATTCAAAAAAATGGAAAATCACATTATGATCTAGAACGAAAATATGAAAATGTCAAATCAAAAAATCGAATTGGAGACTCAAGAATAGGGATGGAATGGGACCAGTCGGTCCGGCCCGGTACCCGGCCCGAATCGCCACTGTGCGGTACCGGCCTGGCCCGGTTGACCGGGACCGGGACCGGGACCGGGCCTTGGGCCCGAACCGGGGGGTTTTGGGGCGGGTTACGGGCTGCAGCCCTCTTGGAACCGGCCCGGCCGGTCGGGGACCGGTCCGGGCCCAAAATGTTTTTTTTTTCGAATGGATTGGGTGTTAGGCGGGTTGGGCTGGGTGGTTTGGGGTGTTTGGGGGTGGGGGTGGGGAGGTGTAGGAATAAATAAGGAAAACAAAAATTAAAAATATAGATATATATGACCCGACCTGACCCGGGCCTCTAACAGTCTAACTCCCAAACCCAGTCCTACCCAAGGCCCGACCCAGGCCCGGTCCATCCCTACTCAAGAACATACCAACAGTAGGAGAATCAAAGATAGTAGTACTACCTTCGTCCCTTTAAACTACTTTGTTTTGACACAATTACTAACAAAGTGGTTGAAAAAGTAAAAATTTTGGTTAAGATTTGAATATAATAAAAAGAAATATTATAGACCACATATTTCTTTCCCCAAAAGAATATGTGACACTTATTTTGAGATAACTAAAACGGAAAAGTAAGATGAGACGGAACGAGCGATTGGTTGTTCCTCTTTGTACTTTGGAAGATGTTCTTATACATGATTTAATACTTTCCGTTTCAAAATAATCAATATAGTCAATTTATCTTGATCAACACATTTTTACTTTAAATGCTTATTATTTATCTTATCTTTTTTTTTGTAATCTAATCTGGATTTTGTAATTTTATAGAACTTTCAATGTAAGTTCTGAATAAGTAAAGTTTAATCATTTAGCCAATTTAACTATCTGCATGGACAATTTAATTTTATCTTCACACAACTTTAAAATCTGAAAAATGCAATTCAATTCAAGACAGAATTTTTTATTTATTTATTGGCCCTATATCACTTACATTTTTAGATAAATATTATTTTAGTAATAGCAGATAAAAACTACTACCTCCATTCTAATGGGCTTTGCCCTCTTTGAATTAGGTAAGAAATAAGAATAATAAATATCGTGTGGTTGAAGTTTGTGCAGAGGAAAGAGAAATGAGCAGAACCACAAAATAGTTACTTCAATGGAAAAGTAACAATTTTTTTGAGAGAATCAAAAAGAGAAAGTTTGCAAAGTCCAATGAGATAGAGAGAATATTTGTTTTTAAATGAACAAAAAAACACGGTATAAAAATATAGATATACAAACTAAATTGACTCCCGCCAATCATGTAATGCGCTTCAACCCTCATTATAGAAGTGTTAGTCGAACTCATTATTATGCAAGAAGTTGGTACGATACATGCAAGAAGTATGTATATACTCATGATCTCAAGTCAATTATGCACAATCAAATTGGTATGCATGCAAGGAGTATGTATATATTTCTGAATTATGTATGAATTTTAATTTTATAATCAGAATAAATAGGAAAACTGTCTGATAGAGCTTTGGTCAAATAATATCGAAAACAAGTTTCTCTAAAAAGGAATAAGAAGATCATGTTTTAAAAAAACAATTATTTTTGAACAAAAAGAAGTTTCAACCTATGAGCATTCACCAATCACCATAGTTTAGAAGCATTACTTATTATGATTTGTTATTCTATTCAAAAGGGTAGACGAATGTCTCATATTAGCCCTCAAATGTTAGGGGAGTGTATTCAATTGGGACATTTTAAAACAATTAGAGATTTGTATTCATGTGGGATTTTAAAAGACTTTTCAAAGTTGTGTGAGACATTTCAAGACATGTTAACTCCTACGTATGCCTCATCATTGTACTTCTCCGAATACTGGGTTTGACCCATTTCAATCGGATATAGGCAGATGAGATAGAGAGGTCGAGCTTTTCCATGTGATTCAAAATATTTGGACTAACACTGAGATAAATAGAGGAATTGTTAGTGTATTTTTGTTGTGAAGTCCTGCCAAATCCAAATCCAAAAAAGAATCCCAAGTTCTGTTGGTGTTTTAAATACATGAAGACTTTTCTACTCTCCAAATGTCTTAAAATGTTTCAATTGAATACACCCAGATTTTGAGAATATTAAAATGTCTTAAAATGTCCCAATTGAATACACCCCTTAATTAATGAAACACTTTAATCTGAGACTCAACACTAACACTTGAATTTTGAAGTCTTGCCCTAAAATTTCATCTACATAAAAAGAGTAGTTCAAACTATGTATTGAATTATGGAATACTATTTTGTATTCGACTAATATTTCAACTATGTGCTATTATTATCACTTTAATACTATGTAGCACATAGCTTAGAATCCTTTTTTGTCAATGACAAAATTTTAAATAACTAATGATGTAGAAGTTAGTAATTAAGGGACGAGTATGCTTAGCTTATCGTTTTCTAGTAATGACAACTAGTATTACACCTGTGCGTTGCACGGTGTGTGAGTTTGTGGATGGATAACATCACCGTCTTCAATAAAATATAATTGGTTTTAAAGTTAAATATCGTGCATTGCGCAACAAAGAACAAAAAGTGTAATATGTAAGTTTGCTATAATATGTAAAGTGATTATGATACAGTGTAAAAAATTACAAATTATGGAACAATTTTTTGTAGACAACATTAATCTTCTCATCATTTGGGCAACCATCTTCTTTTAGAATGAGGATTTGAGACCTGTCCGATTGGTAACTCTTGACACGACAACATATAATTGTACATGGCTGAGAACAGGTTTTTTCAATAGGATACCAACGTGAGTGAGCTATTAACCTTGACTTTTATTGATGGTCATCATTGCATAAGAAACCATAATAGGGAATTGTCTCCTTTGAAATCTATACGGTAGTCTAACATCAGACGGGGTCAAAGACAGTCGCGGTATCAGAACCCTACCCTCTAAGATGTGATCACACATCTTTGTTATGACGAGTCTTAACCCGTTACACAACCCCTGTGTGTCATCTATATTACACAGAAGCATGGTTGGAGTGCTAACTTTCAAAGTCAACTTGTAATTTGGCACTCTGGAGAGTTTAATACTGTTCAAGAATTCTGGAGTGCGTAACTCTGCTACAAGATCATGGGTTGAATCAGATTTGCAAACACTTTCCGAACTAAGGTATGTGTTGGAAACTTCCTTGAAATTTAAACGTATCATATAGTCGTTGACTGAATCAACGACCTCAAGGGTTGGAGCAAGAATAGCTTTATCT